ATACTATCCTCACAATGTATTTTAAACAAACTGATAAAATAATCCCTATAGGATGTTAAATGGTTTTAGGTAATTGGCAAGAAATTCTGTGCCTAGGTGTTGAGAAAGTCGGGACTAAGTTAAAATAAGGCGCAACTATCTGTAGGATTCAAATCTTTATCATCCAGTTCCACAATCTGAGATGTTACCACTAAGTTATTCAGGACATTTACGACTAATTGATCACTGAGTATTGACCAATGTTTGTCTAGTCCTATAGCACTGATCGAATTCTATCTATCAAGATAATAAATGCTTCTGAAGGAAAGAACAATCAAAATCGGACAAATAAAAAGAGTTACTAAATGAATTTCATAGTTAAAGCATCTTAATATTGAAATCATATAGGTTTAATAGGAGAAACGCTCTAAAGTATAAATTCTCTAAGCACTATAGTTTCACGTAAATTTAAGTTTTACTAAAAAGTTTTCAAGGATGTAAACAATTTAGTTTTATATTGGAGTTATTTGCGAACAGCTCCCAAATGCCCTGGCACGGCCGAGACTGGGGAGAGTCAGCTCCCCTTCTCGAAAACCACTGCCACACAAGTCTAACTCACCGCATTACTGTTGTTTACGGAATTGAGAGAACGAAAAGAGAATGTCCGGCTTTCTAACCGGGTTGGTGGTTATGGAGGATCTACATAGGAGAGTTGGAAAACCCTCATTTCAAACCAGTGGTGCACATGGGCTCCAGGATCCTTACGAACAAATGGCATATGCACCAATCGTTGGTCACCGGCTACGATGGGAGCGCATCTCCTAACGTTGCTCTACTGCCATGTGGATTAGACCTTTAGGTCAGAGGCTCCGGGTGTGGCCTCCTACAAAAACTACCTGCTCCGGTTTGGGCACCCGAGCCCTCACGCAAATCGAATGATTCATGTGGCGCATATCTATTTAGTGCCTCCTTGTACCAATGTTTATGTGTTTAAGTAAATAAATATTTGGGAATATGATCTTTTCCCAATATGTCTATGGATCCTCTCTAATGTAAATGTGACATCACCTTTTATTTAACTGAATGCTTCTAAGTAGTACATATGCATTGTTTATTAGAATTCTGGAAACTAAGTTGCATAATATACTCTCAACATTACGAATGATCCATAATAAATAATTTCTTTCCAAGATGGTCTTTGTATTCTGTTCACTTTATCGTAGCTAATTAATTTTAGTGGTTAGTTATTATCAATAGTGTCTGTAATTGCACATTCAATGAATGGGATTAAATAACCAACTAATTCATTTAGACTTCTACTGAACTAAATAAAATTGTGAGACTTATTGACGAAATCAGATAAGGATTGCACTATACGAGATAGATTGACTTAAGATGAAAATATCAGGCATTTGGTTCTAACTAACTGTTCATCGCCGAACTTGAAGGTAGTATGGTTAGTTCTATGCATTACCAAAGAATAACAAATTAGAAGGAAACAGTTTCTGTTGCCGTCTGATCTTTAGTTTTGGTATCAGTTCATGATAATAAACATGATACTCTGTATGGAAATCTTCGAAAATTCACCCTAGTAAATAATTATCAATAGATTAGTTCAATTGTATTATACGTCAGATGCGTGAAACTGGGTCACTTAAAACTGTTAATAATCGAGCATATCATAGGAGTCAGTAATGAACTATTAGTGTTGTGTTTGTCTTCATGTAAGATTGAAATGTTTACAAATTAATTGGTTTTACTGACGAATACCAACGTAGAACTTCGTACGTACATATATCAGTTCAAGTTACTATAGCACAGAGATACAACTGTCGATTTAAATCCCATAGTGATAGAAGTAGTAAGAGTGTAAGCAGTAATCGGAAAGACAAGGGTTTGAAGATGTTAGTCAACAAGTATAATCCAGTGAAATAAACTTGGAAAGCGAAAAAAGAAAGGGATACGAAGGATTCAGAAGATTAGAATTTGGGAGGACACAAGGAGTGTATGCACCTGCACTATTACAAACGATTTTGAGCCATGTCATTCAAGGTCTCTAACTATCGGTTGCCATCGTCTCGCGGATCCCAACCAGCTAGTCTACACCTACCAACATGACTCAGTCCACATGTCAGTGACTTCATGGATGTATGCTTTGATTTGGCCGCCTCTAGCTTTATTTCAACCTACTCCTACACCATAAAACATCACACGTTGGAGCAGTCGGTGGTCTGGCATACGTAACACATGTCCCAGCCATCTCAACTGATGAAGTTTCACTCCCCTACGACTACTATCACGAATACCAACTAGTTTTCTATCGTTGTTGACTCCAACCATTTATTATCAAATAAAGTTTACAGTAGTAATATTGAGTCAGTTAATTTAGTATAATATAGCAGTATACATAATTCAATTGATTCATCAGATTATTTATTGTTTAAAATACACAAGTTATTGTTCTAATCCTAAAAATAAACACTAACAACAATAGAGATTATAAAGTAATTGACTGCAGTTAACATCTTTTCTATTTTAAGTACTAGGTTTTCCAGTAAATAAAAGGGACGTTTTATGATTTACAAACTGGGAATCTGCTGAAGGCCATAGAACACTAGATACTTGTTTCTATCCAACCTGACATTTCACAACAATGTAAACTTACAGAATTACCAGGGGTTGAAACCAGTTCCTTTAGGTTACGTAGTGAGGAGACGTTATCTTCAGTACAAAATCCAGTAATCTGCTTGTCCAAACTCAATTAATTCATGCTTATTGTCCTCTGATGCTCAATAGTATATGAAGGAAATATTTTAGACCTGAATTAATCACTATAAATAACTTAAATAAGTTGATATGTTAGTTACATGGCTTTTATTACATTAGCAAATGTGTTATTTGTACTTCTATCTAACAGTCGGTCCGTCAGTAACAACGTGGAACTTCGTACGTGCGTACATCTTCTATCTAACAAGTCTGTAGGAGTGTCATAGGTTACTATTCAAGTAAACTAACTACTTTTATACTGCTATGTACTCTCTTGCTAACTAACTACTTAATTAGTTTGGTAAGTGTTTCATCTTATTGATTATTATTACCCATAGGAACGAGATAGTTCACTGATAAGAACCAGAAATGAGTGTGAAGTAAAAGAAACTGCATTGTCTTTAATAATGAAATTCCAGTTAGTGTCAACCAGTTGAACAGTGAGAGAGGGAACAAGAAGTATCTGTTCAGTTTCAAGAAACACCGACATAAACTGCACGATCGTGTACATGGTTAGTTCACACTGTGTTGATCTAATTGTGATACCTAAGTTGTAAGAATTTTCTCGATTTATGAAATGGGTATTCTTCCTTTCAAACAAATTATGAAGTTGAGGAAACTGAATTCACAGTCACATACACGTAACGATTCAAGCCGTGACAAATAGGGATTATCAAAGCAATTCGCTCAAGATGAACAGATGCCAAGTAATTTGATCACGATTCAGTCCCGAATATCAACAACGGGATAACTCAAGCTCTTTCTAGAAATAACGTAGTTAATGACCTCATGGACTGATGCCAGGTATTGGTTTGACCACCTACACATTTATTTCACGCAACATCTACATCCGTTTACATTGTCAATCGAGGTAGGCAGTCGTTGTACATACGTAATATACACTTATATGTATTTTTCGAGTAATTTAAATTAAAATGCATTATTTCTGTTGTCACTGGAATAACGATTTATACAAGTTTTAGTGAATATACAATCGTTTTCTTTAAGAGATTGTATTTAATTACTTTTGAACACCGATTACCACATCGTGCAATGCTAACCGGTGTTGGATAGAAATTAGGGGCGGCCAAACCAAAACGTGCCATCAGTCCTTGAAGTCACTAACTTCTAGTCTGAGCCATGTTGGTAGATACAGACTACTTGGTTGGGGTCCGCGTGACTTTCGTAACCAATGGTTGGAGACTCTTGGTGACATGGCTCAGAATCAATCACAATGGCGTAAGTGTATACACTCTTTGTCTTCCCTTAAATCGCGAGATTAAAATCGTTTCATATCTTTCTTTCTACGAACTAATTCTTCATTCCTGTACCATGTCCTTATATGCTATCTTTATTTTATATATTGCCACCATTGTATTAACTACTGTGAATCCGATGTTCATCTTGTTGTGCTAATGCGGTATGGCAACCTGGACCGATGCATATATGTGCCTGGTCCTACGTTGTAGCTGACTGACTGATTTAAATACTTTATAGTGAACATGGTTACCTCCTAACGATGTGAAGTGGCTAAATACTCTCATCAACGATAATGTATGTTCATGGGAGAGGGAAGAGTTACGCGGAAAAGCATCAAAAGCAAAAACTTTATATTGGAATTTCACTGCTAGATTTTATTCCCCGTAACTAAGAAAGGTTTCCTTCTATAAAGTTGTTTAGAGAAACATATAAAAAGTATTTTGAAATTGGCTACTCTGGATAATAATTTAGTCCCTACACCTGGACTACAGCTTGACCATCCTGCCTAGTAAGTTATCGAATAGACAAAAACTAATGTGTAAACACATTTACTTCGAAGATAAGACTTGAGTACCAGATATGGTTTACTTTCCGTCAACGAAGATAAAAGTAAAACCATAAAAACACGTCTCGAGTAATGGTTATCTTGTCAAGAATCTCGTTAGATGTACCGAGACCTATTCTGCTTATAAACCAATGATCACTTTTAATTTGCTTCGCAGTAGAAACATCTAACCCCAAATATTAGTAAGTACAAGACTTGATCAATTTAGTCCGCATTAACAAAAACATGACCAACTTGATCTTCTCATACGTAACGCGATGACAGACATGGACCAGTTAGTTGGGGTCCGCCAGATTATGGTAACATAGAATCTGGTAGCAGGTGTCTTCACTCCTTATTTTTCTAAACGAAACTTGAGTGCCGAAATCTCCCTACACTTTTTTCCTCTTTTCCATTAAATCTACCAACTACTGTCATAATAATTACAAGATACAACAATAAGCAGTGTTTATTGAAATGCGGGAATGATTGATTAATATAGGATGATACATGCGTAGCAAAATTTATCCACCGGTGATTATCATCAATGTAACAAAAATAGTAGAAATACAAGCAGTTACAAAAAACACCCCAAGCAAATATCAGTGTTCATTTGAAGGCGTTAGGGTAGTCGTTTATAATTGCGAATGGCAGTAACGTCACCAACAGTAACAGTCTAAAAGGGAATACATATTAGGAGTGAGAAAATATCAGTTACCGTTTTCATAGTATCACCATCTACTTCACGAACGATTACAGTTGTGTTTTTGGGATCTACTTGAGTTTGCGTTAACTTCGACTCGGAATTTTTTTCAACAACTGACTACAAGGGAAAAAAGCAAATAGCAGGAGTGAAAATATTATTCTTTCATTGGGATAAAAACGCGTTTGGTAATTGCTGACTATGGCAGTAAGAATGTAGTGCAATGAGTATTTCTGGGTTTTTGGTCTTTAGGTTATGGGTTACAGCTACTCCCTAACATATATATTTTGAAATTAAATCTACTTGTATCGTCTCATTTACCGTTTTGGTGACTTAAGTGTTCGTGTGTGATGATTGAAATCGAAAGAAATAACCTCGACAATACATGCAACTACTTGTGGAAGGCTTTGACATTAATCTGATGTCTGAATAATGGTTTACTCTACATCGCTGATTAGCTCTGAACCTAATAATAATAGGTTGGCTATTGGAGAATCAAAGAAAGAACATGTAAAAGGGCAAATCAGCTGATAAGTACACACAAGTACTTGATTTGGTGATTGTAAGTCACGGTTTTGATATGAAGGAACGAATGACCAATTAGATTAATCCCCATGAATTTACATATGAGCAAAGGAATGTCTAATAATTTAGCTATTGTTTCTTAGTTACTATTAGATCTTTAAAGCACATACACACCGAGAAGTCAAAAGTTTATTTACCTTGACGTTTCTGCCATCACTTGTTTTTTCTTCGAATTCCTCGCCGAACTTGAACGTACAAGAAAGATTTTTGAAAGTTGACTCTGTTAACATGGTCATTTTATCCCCATCCATTGTGAAGGTTACAGTCGGTGTCACTGTGTTCCCAATCTGTCGAGTTGCCCATGAGACACCTAAAAGGAAGATATAATTAAATTAAAAACCCCTATTTAGTTAATAAAAAAATACTATGAAATTATATAGAAAAAAAAGCGAAAAGATGATGTGGTCAACACAAAAGTAACGTCATACTTTTAAAATCTAACCAATGAACGCAACATACGAACAATGTATGCAGATAAGTTTTAAGAATTAAAAACATAATTGCCTCGTACATGAGTGAAGGTTTTGCTGTGTAGACGTTATTTACACTGAGAAATAACACAGAAATCCCTGATCAAGAAGCAGTCGTTCCCTAATTAGACTACCGATAGGAAAGTTTGTGAATTTTCAGTTGGATTAACCTCTGAGATTTCCCAAAGACATACATGATTTTGGTCTTCACTATGACTAGTTCCTTTACGATTTGATTACCGAAGTAATACTTCATTTTGAGTAAAGAAAAAAATTAGATGGTTGTATGCTGTGGACCTGCACGGGTCACTCCCGAACCACACAAGACATACAATAACACGGTTTTAGAAAATCAAAGATGAACATCAACTCTACAACTACGAGGAACATGATACTCGAAACATGAGTGACAGCAAAAATCATAAGTATCTTACCTTCCCCCGAAGATGTATAAAACCGTAAACTTTAACAATATGTAGTTACCTAGCTTTGACATGACAGCATCGAAGTTGTGTGACTCGCTAAGTTTCCATTTTCCCAAGAAAGAAGACATTGTTTTCGACTAGTGTGATGCTTCTGAAGTGCTTGAACGGTCACCGACTTTTAGCTTATTGTAAATTTGATGATCTGGTGAAGGATCTGTAAAATACAAAAAGTCCAGACGAACGATAATAGTTCAGATATTACTAAATTCATTACAATAGACACGATACTCTTGCACAGGTATCAAACACAGACCTTAATCCGAAGTGATCATTGTCAGCTCCTTTCCTGTCTAACAAAAACTTAGTAGTCATATTATTTTCAAGGTAATTGCAATGGGATACAGAAGAGCTACTGACCATGCACAACAAGACCGTCTGTGAAAATTTATCAGTAGCAACAATGATGAATGAAATATTAAATAACGATTCGTAAGAGCTTCCCCCCGAGGGTATGTTGTGAAGGGTGGTACACAATTACTGAATGAAGGATTAGCTACATAGGTGACCATGGTTTCGCCGCTTAACTGATTTGGATAAATTTATTATACACGACTATGTTTGTTAGTAAGTGTATGTAGATTACATATTCAGTAGTTGATGACAGTGTGGTTATGTGAACGTCTTCAGTAAGACTCGGCAGAGAAGTCCAAGCTTAAGACAATCAACTAAACCAAAATCTGCAACAACAGCTAGCGACCCACCTAACTCCCTGACTCACTCAAGATTGATTAGACGCCAAAGCTGTTACTCCTCAACTTGTCCTTGTAAACTTATGTGTAAAAACAATTGTCCAATTTCACTTTTCAATATCACAAATGAACTTGGTCACTTTTGAGAAGATAAAGCTTACGGCTAACTGACTTGTACTAATCAAGATCAATAGTTCTTTGCACCACGTTTGTAGGAAATATGTCAAGTATTAGTGGAATGTTATTGTGAGACGCTCTGTTTTTTATTTACGTATTTATAGTCTGTTAAATAGCTGAGTTTTACAAATATACTTTAACATTTGATTTTCTTAACAATTACCGGAGGCCCACGTTTTGTTCCAATGCTCAGATGGTTTTACTTTAATGGTCTGTTAATGTTCATGTTTTGTTAATTATATCAAATATTCACTTGTGATACTCTGGTGTTCAATGTTGTTCGATTAATCGACAAATCGAAAATATGAGGTTCCAGTTTTTGTTTTTCTTACTCCTCTGGTGTTGGGACAACATTTTAACTGCTATTGATTAAGTGGACGATACGTCGCACGTAAGTACTCTCAGTGGTACGGCATAATAATAGAATGTTATGTTGATATTTATTACAATAATAAAGTGATTACTTTGTCTGTCAGGATTTTCACTCTTGAGAAATAACGGCAAGACTTCAGGCAATAAAAAAACGAGACCAACTATTTAAAATTTTGCCCACAACTGAAGCATGAACTGATACAAGGTAAAAGCACACATCACATGCATCCACTTGCATTCGCCCTGCTACTTTGAAAAACTGATGTCGACAGTGCTGCATGCTTTGTACGCAAGCATCAAACAACGTTTTTACCCTATGAGGCAACCATGAACTTCTGACCTCCCAAGTAGTGCTTTTGATATAATTTTCTGTATACCGGACCTATCGTAGCATTGTTCTAATGCAGCTTCATTGTTGATATCCCACACTACATTGGCTTAGCTATATAAGTTTACTGAATTGTTTCGTCACGTTTCCACTTAGCTAACCAAGTAGGAACCAGCATAGCCAAGTCCCAATCAATGTGACGACAAATTACTAAATTAGTATCTTGCAAGTACACCAAACACTATCTTGAATAACTAATTTTCATGTTCCTCCATGTACAGGCGGATTGTAGATATAACTCACTAGAAAACAGTAGTAAGACACATCATGGAGCTCAGACCCGGTAACTGATATAGCACTGCCCTCCTTGACCCGGAATGGATTATAGGCTTATTTCTCAATTTGCTATGATTGTAACGACAAGCCAAATCATGTTTACGATATTCTTAGTTTCCCGAACGACGTGATAATCGGCTATGCTCTCCATATACACTACTTGTCAGTCGTACTATACTTTAACTACAGCGGATGTTGAGTTCACTTCTATGAAGATACTTGTTGTCTCAAATCACACAGAACCTCGAATCTCTTTACCGATGCTCAACATTTACCCATTACAATAATATTGATAGGCCCGCACACGTTCGTCACAGAACAACTCTCGTTGATATAGCCTTTATTTGTTCATAATAATCAGCCAATTGAATCCATAACTCACTGGTGAAATAAAGAATGAAGAAATTATTACAATGATCAGTAGGAACAAATTCAAATTAGTGAAGTATCCACAGACAATCCAGGGACTTGTTCTTGAGTAGCATTAGCTACCCATTAAGCCTATCGGGCTCGATGTATTTTAATTGTACCTGAAGGATCCATCGTAACGACTACAAACACCCGGGCTCTAGAACCGAGATTCTTGCCAAACAAAGACTACGGCTCTACTCTACTGGATAGATACATTTAATCCATTCAAGGAGGAATAATCAAAGTTTGCAAAATTATTGATCAAAATTAATGACCAGAGACAAAATTGTATCCAAAAGAGAATTTATATTGGTCAATTCAAGCAAGTTCAATCTAAGAGCAGTGAACCAATATGGCAGCCACCAAAATCAGTGTTCGTGTAAGAAATGAGTTAATAGTCAGAGAGTACTGAATTAAGAATGAGAGTTGAGAAAGCGCAAGCATATTTAAATATCAGGAAAAAATATTCTTAGATCACAGAATTAACCTGATGGGTAGAAAATTAATGAAAAAGATGACAAACATTATGACCGTGGAGGGACGAAATGCTGATGTCATATAGCATGCATGTATTTGATATTTTCCAAATCCCACATAAACACACACATAGGAACAGATCTTAAATTATCTGCTCTTCGGAAACGAATCAGTGGGTATCTAAACGCCGTGTTTTGGGAAACCACGATATGCTCACGCCCATCGTTTTCTGTTGTTTTCCGAAGGCCTCGTTCTCGGCAGGACAAGCTTAGTCAATCAACCTATTTAAACAGAAAAAGTCCCTATCGCTTTTCGGTGGGGTACAAATGGATTTGAAATACTGATGCCGTTGGCCTGGCTCAGTCGTAATAACATTTTATCTATTCGTGCTAACATCTTTCTTTTAGCAACGATGTTTGTAGTCTGTCCAGTGGTTTCACGAGTCATGGTTGTATCCCAGAGTAATTGAGGACATGTAGAATTATGGTCTACTATTATATTAGTACTGCTTTAATAATAGACTTAATCCTACAATTGCAGAGTTGTCATGATGTAACTGCCTAATCTATAAGTTCGTACGTGGATGTCACATCACTGTATACCTCAACTCGTTGTATTCTAACAACCATAAATATATGATGAAGAACACATTTAGGCTGGAGATAGGACAATATATTTAATATGAGTAAAAGTAAGTCGTACAGAGCGACCACGCCTGCGAGGCTGAGCCATGCCACCCGACTAATCAATTGATTCAACTCCTTCTTTCTGCCTTCTCCATCGTTGGGTTTTTCCCCGCGTTAAATGTTGAATATCTATTTCCCCAATTATCTCGTGTTCAGCTCTGAGGATTGTGTGGTTAGGACTTAATGCCACTACAGATATACAGTGAAAGTGTTAAAATAATTGGTTGTATTATTGTTATAGTGAAGACTTTAACCAAGTGAGTTCTACTGCCAAAGTGACTGAACTTTTTTTACTTCTGAAAAAAATGTGCTTTATTATTTATTCATCTGTCCTGGTATGACTGGAGGTAGTAGTTAGCTTACTTGTTCTCAGTCCGTCAGTCAAACATACAGACGGAGTAAATTTTAATGTCATCAACCAGTAATTCCACCGCCAAAAACCCAAATTCTTTTGTGGACATTAAAGATTGAGTGCCATTTTACAATGTCAAACAGTTCAATTGATTGATTGGTTTTGACTTGAAAGGGTAAAATCACGTAAACCAAAAGTAACACAAACTGATCTAAAGGACAAGATCAGTTGTTGTTCATATGCTATAATCACATTGGAATTGTAAGTCAACGGAAACTATAACGCAATGTCCACAAGTAGCAAATGTACGGATCTAAGAAGACTATTTCAACGGCCACAACATCCTTAATGAAGGAAAAATAAGAAATGGTATGACAATCAAATTGTTGCCATCGGAATTCGCAAATAACCGCAAACCAAAAGTTCTGTTGTGGTCGTGTTCCGTCCAAGCTATACGATATTTCGAGACGAGTATATACTTACTGAAAAGATTTACGTTCAAACTGTAACATTTCGAGGACGGAAAACCCCACATCCATCACTTGGGAGCAGTTGATCGGTATGGCCTGGTTCACCCTGACAAGTGTGGTCACTCCGTATACCTCATACCTTTCTAAATGGAATATATATTATTTTGTCCCCAGCCGAAATGTGTTCTTCAGAAGTACTAAACATCATATTGCTGATTGCCACGAAGTACGAATCAGTACAGACAATAATGAGAATTTCATGAAAGATATCATAGAATAGGTAGTCACATCATGACGAATCTACAATTTTGGGGTCAGATCTATTGTTATGGTAACAAACAAATGTATTAATGCCGAACTAGACCATAATTCTACAGCCCTTCTTGCGTTGTTACATGATCTAGATTAATACATTGACGAGATAGGCTGACTGATTTAACCTTGAGGCTTGTATACGTGAGTTTGAAGTGGGGTAGAGAGATTAAAACTATCCTATCATCTGATTGACTAACAAGCACGCGAGAGAGAGAAGATGAGTTAACTGAAGCACTACAAAATTTAATCCCGATTTCGATATGGTTCCCGATTTTGGATTAGTGTAAAAAGATACTTGAATAAGTAGATGAATAACCAGACCACAATGAACAATAATTAGGAAAATACAATTTTGTCCAAAACTGGAGATTAGCGTAGAAAGTAGAGTACAAAATATTACGTTTAAATTACAATGGCTTTGTAACAAAAGAGGCTATAGGATTAAATCGTACATCAAACGAAATCTTACGATCTTTATAATAGACTAGGCACAAATACATAGGCCTTCCAGCCATGGTCGTTATTAAAACCCTTTTTTCTTTGTACTCACTATTCGGTTGTCTTAACTTCGAGTGCAGCATACAAGCGGCTAGTTTCTCCATAAAGAGACAATGAGTTGTTGGAAAAGGTCTGGTTCTCGGAACAGCAAAGCTTCCGTATGATTCTCGACTGGCCAGATTAAACCTATTTTCATTGTCAGATGGAAGAACCAGAAGCGACTTGATCACAGTTTTAAATTACTTGGTGACAGATTTGCTCTAACTTTTCTTGTATTTCAGAACAAGGATTTAACGTGGACAATTTAAAAAAGCTGACAAGCCCAGAATAAATTACTTGTCATCCCACTGTCGACATTGTCATCGACTCATCAACGAATGGAATTCACTGAGTTAACATGTGATTGAAGTTTCATATGTCGACGTCATCAGAAGGATACTGGATCGACTAAAAGATCGCGATTGCCAGAACTGACACAGTCCTCTGTACTTTCAAAACCATAACCAAAATGTCTTCTTAAAATTCATCAAATAAACGTAGCTTAGGGCCAGTTAAACGTCACTGGGTCCTGGGCAAATCATTATGCAGTCGGGCCAGTGAGTGTCGAATAACCCATCGATCCTCATCAGGTTCAAGGGCAGCCAACACCCATTTTGTGAATGCACGCCACCAACTGACCCATGGGATGGAGGTCA